TTAATCCTCCGTCTGCGGTGCGGACATCCCATATGGGTGCCAGTTCTAGTCCCGGTTACTCCTCTTCCAGTCCAGCTCTCTGCTGTGGCCCGGGAAGGCAGTGGAGGATGGGCCAAGTGCTTGGGCCCCTGTACCGGCATGGGAGACCAGGAGGAGGCGCCTGGCTCCTGGCTTCGGATCAGCACAGCGTGCCGGCTGTAGCGGCCATTTGGGGGGTAAACCAACAGAGGGAAGAACTTTCTCTCTGTCTCTCTCTTTCACTGTCTAACTCTGCCTGTCTAATAAAATTAAATCTTAAAAAAATGGGTTCTGTAAGAAAAAGAAGAGTAGGGGGAACTTAACACCTCTTCACAGAGTCCTTTACCAGAACTAACACTGTTAAGAAGCAGGCAAAATTTCTTCTTCTATAGACTTAAAAAATACGAAATATCCCTTAAGGGGTTAAAAAAATGGATGGTGTGCCCATTTCTGTGAAGATCATGAATCAGAAGTGGACACACTGAAAGATGATGTGGTGAGTCAGCAGGAGGAGCTGAAGCGTGGCCTGGCAGTACTCAACAAGGTAGAGGAAATGATCCCCGAAAGACTGATTAGAGCAGATGGAGCACGGGGATACACAGATCCTATAAAGGCAGACAGTAGTCAGAGAAAGTGAACACAATTTGATGAGGCTAAACGAAGAATTAGAAAAGGATTACAGAAAAAAATGCTAGATATGAAAGACTGGCAAAGGGAGTCCAGTATGCTTATAATTGGAATTCCCAAAGAAGGAAATTGGAACATTGGAGTAGGATGTGTATATTTGTAAGGTTTGTTTTTAGAAACTGACAAAGAAAACTTTTGGATGGGTAGCAGAAGCCAGAGGAGGCTGTATTCGAGAAGACTGGCCGGAGAAGATACGTTCGGAAAAGCTGTGGGCCTTAAAAGTAGTCTTTCTGGTAGTCAGGTAGAAAGAGTAAACCATTTATGAGGGGGAGAAATAGTCAGGCTGCCTAAAACCAGGAAGCCCATCCACCTTGAAATGAACCCACTCCTCTGGAACAGCTCTAGTCACAGGCAAGCGAGAAACCGAGGTAGCTCAGTGTCTTGCATGTGGTGGTCCTTTTTTTTTTTTTTTTTTTCCAACAGGAAGAGTGGACAGTGAGAGAGAGACAGAGAGAAAGATCTTCCTTTTGCCGTTGGTTCACCCTCCAGTGGCCGCCGCGGCTGGTGCACCGCGCTGATCTGAAGGCAGGAGCCAGGTGCTTCTCCTGGTCTCCCATGGGGTGCAGGGCCCAAGCACTTGGGCCATCCTCCACTGCACTCCCTGGCCACAGCAGGGAGTTGGCCTGGAAGAGGGGCAACCGGGACAGAATCCAGAGCCTGGACCGGGACTAGAACCTGGTGTGCCGGCACCACAAGGCAGAGGATTAGCCTATTGAGCAGCGGCGCCGGCCCTGCATGTGGTTCTGAAAGTCCTGGGCCACCAGCCTTTGGAGATAGGTGTTGAAGTGGCTCCCCAAGAGGGCTCATATTTTTGGCCCCCAGTTTTTTTTTTTTTTTTTTTTTTAAAAAGATTTACATATTTGAAAGGCAGGGTTGCAGAGAGTGAGAGACAGAGAAATAGCCCATACGTTATTTTACTCCCCAGATGGCTTCGGCTGGGGCTGTCAGGAGAAAAACAGGAGCCAAGGGCTTCATCTGTGTCTACCACATGGGTAGCAGTGGCCGAAACACTGCTGCTTTTCCTAGGTTCATTAGCTGGGAGCTGGATTGGAAGTGGAGCAGCTGAGACTAGAGCCAGGGCCCCTATGGGGCAGCCCCAGCACCCTCTCTCTAATCCTCCTGCCTTGGTGATCCTGGAAACACCTCACCCAGGGGTCCTTGTGAGCAGAGTCCCCTGCTGATTTGCACAAAGGGAATTCAGCTCTGTTATGTTAAAGGAGCCTAGGGGACTGTGGAGTCTTTGGTCTTGCGCAGAGCCTCTCAGGGTGGGCTCTGTGGACCAGGGGTGTGAGGTCACAGCTGTTCTCAGAGTAATGCTGAGACATTCTCTCTGGAGTGTGCAGTGGAGTTTCCCAGGGGCTGGTGATGTGTGGTATGTACCAGATGGAATATAGATGTGGACATGAAAATCTGTCTTCTAGTGAGCTCTTCACTAAAGAGATTTTGAATGTAAAACAGTGCTACTCTTTCTAAAGTTTTTGTTTTCGAAATGTAGACATCCTTCATAAAAATGTGTTAGTAATGTTAATGAATACAAAATGAAAAACTTCACAGTTTTAATTTATAATATAGTAAGTATTGATATGGTTATATAACCCATAGGAATGGAGAAAACAAAGTTGTCCAGTGCTTGAAGAGAAAAACTGTGGTTAAAGCAGGAATAATAGTTTTAAATGAGGAGCATTTCTGAAAAATAGTGCACATTTTAGAAATAGGGCCATATTGTTGGGAATTAAGTCTTATTTCGATGAATCCTATTTAATTGCAAGCTTCAGTATATTTTTATGGTTTTTTTGCTGTTATGTGTGAGGAGTCTTTATTACCTGTACTAGATTTACATTTTAAGGTGAAAAAGATACAATTTACTTTCAATGTGAAGGTGACTTTTGTATTCCTTGCCCTTGCTTAGGAAAATCTTTTTTTTCCTGAAGTAACGTCTGTGTGCCATTGACACTTTTCCAACATCCACAAAAATTTATATTTTTAGGAAAATAGCTGTAAGATTGAATGTAAACTCAGAATCAAAAGTAGCACAAGACCACGGCATTAAAACAAATATTTTAGTGAATGTAAACTCAGAATCAAAAGTAGCACAAGACCACGACATTAAAACAAATATTTGAGTGACACTGCCCTTAACATATACATTTGAAATTAATCTGACTCAGTGTGTTTCTCATTGATCATATTTTTAATTGCATGATTTTCTTCCTGTACCATGCGTAACATTTAATTATAAATGGAATCTCCTAAGGTTAGGCTCAATCTCATTTTGATTTGGTCTAAAAATAAATTAGTAAGGCAGGGAAGAGACATCTTCTTAGTGTCTTGATTTGAAATGTTCCTGCTTTGCAGCGCAGTCTCAGATTGCCCAGGACATACAAGCTTTTCTCTTCCAATTCAGTCTAACAGTCACTCAAACGTAAAGCCGCCCTCTGGTGTTCGCCCTGTGACTCCCTCGATGCTGGTGTCGACAGTCTTCAGTGAACTGCCTTGGGGAGTGCTTTGGAATGTGAAGTTCTCCAGTTTTCATGTTGTTGATGAGAAAGATAGAAATAGGGAAAGTCATGTATCTGTACTCTGAATATCTGTTTATTTGCCTTCCTTTAGAAAATTAATCTGTCCTTCCATTATTTCCAAGAACTTGATTCTTGTAAAGGAATCATGTGGGTGGAAGATTTTTTTGGTAATGGCTTAACTTTTCAGGGTTCCTGACAAAGCAGGCTGTTAATTTCAAATGGAATATGCCCTGTGTTCAGTGTCTTTTTTTGTGTATGAGTGTTTTATATTGAATTTTTTGAGTAGTAGATATTTCACTAGCTCCTGAAAAATAACAGTTGACTTTTTCTTTTTTTTTAAAAGTGTATTTGTTTATTTGAAAGTCCGATAGAGAGGGAGAAACAGAGAGAGATCAAGATCGAGATGAGAGGCTGGTGCTGTGGAGCAGCGGGTTAATGCCCTGACCTGAAGTGCTGGCATCCCATATGGGAGCTGGTTCGAGTCCCGGCTGCTCCACTTCCGATGCAGCTCTATGCTATGGCCTGGGATAGCAGTAGAAGATGGCCCAAGTCCTTGGGCCCCTGTACCCACATGGGAGACCCAGAAGAAGCTCCTGGTTCCTAGCTTTGGATCAGCATAGCTCCAGCGGTGAGTGAGTGAACTCCAGCCCAGTGAGTTCACTGGGGAGTGAACCTGCGGATGGAAGACCTCTCTTTCTGTCTCTACCTCTCTCTGTAACTTTGACTTTCATATAAATAAAATAAATCTTTAAAAACAAAACAGAGATCAAAATGAAGTCTCCCACATGGGTGAAGGGGCCCAAACATTTGGGCCATCTTCTACTTCCTTTCCCAGACCATTAGCAGGGAGCTGGATTGGAAGTGAAACAGCTAGGAGATGAACTGGTACCCATACGGGTTGCCAGTATTGCAGGTGACGGCTTTATCCACTATGCCACAAAGCTGGCCCCAACAGGGTGACTTTTTAAGAGAAACAGAATGGGAGAAAACAGAATGCTCAGTTACTGAATTTCAGAGTTTTGGTTTCCATTAGTGTGAATTTCTCTCAAATCTGGGTTGTAGAAAATTTTTAAAAAGATGTGTTTGCTTTCCAGTGTATAAATTGTGATGTCTTAAACCCCATTTTCAGCCAAAAAGAACAGCGGTATTTTGGAGAAGGGGTCAGTTCGGAGTTAGGAGCACAGAATGTGTGAGATTAGCTTGAACAGCAGTCTCAAACTTTTTTTTTTTTTAAGATTATTTATTTGAGGCACAGAGTTTGTGTGTGTGTGAGAGAGAGAGAGAGAAAGAGCACGTGCGCGGGTGACCTTCCATCCACTGGTTTACTCTCCAGATGGCTACAATGTCCAGGGCCAGGTCAGGCTGAAGCTAGGAGCCAGAAGCTTCTTCTGGGTCTCCTACATGGGTACAGGTGCCCAAGCACTTGGGCCATCTTCTACTTTCCAAGCCATAGCAGAGAGCTGGATTGGCAGTGAAGCAACCAGGGACTTGAGCCAGCACTCATATGGGATGCCGGCACTGCAGATGGTGGCTTTACCCACTGCACCACAAGTGCTGCGCCCCAGTCTCAAACTTTTTGACTTCAGAATCTTCTTATGTTCATAAATTAATGATGACTCCAAAAAGCTTTTGTTTACATGGATTATTTTATCTGTTATTTATCATATTATAAATTAAAACTGAGAAACTAAAATATTAATTAATTTAAAAAAACTCATTGCATATCATATAACATTTTTATATTGAAAATAACTCATTTACCAAAGCAAACTTATTTAGTAAGAAGAGTGACATAGTTTGACAACATTTTTGTAGATCTCTGTTATATTTGGTTTAATGGAAGAAAGCAGAAGTCTCTTATCTACTTCTGAGTTCAAACTGTTGTGACACAAACACAGACGAATGCATACACACATGTATGTACACACGCACATATACAAGGTTTTGTGTGGTGTTATGATTGATGGATGGATCTAAGGAGTTCTGGAATGTGTGGAAAGAGAGAAAGCATTAGAGGGCCTTTTTAGTGAAGTAATAAGAGGAAACTTCCCTCATTTGGAGAAAGAAAGCGACATCCAAGTAGAGGAAGCACATAAAACTCCTAATAGACATGACCAGAAAATATCTTCATCGACACATTGTAATCAACTCTCCACAGTAAAACATAAAGAGAAGATTCTAAAATGTGCACAAGAGAAATGCCAGATTACTTTCAGAGGATCTCCAATTAGACACACAGCTGACTTCTCATCAGAAACCCTACAGGCTAGGAGAGAATGGTGAGATACATTCCAAGTCTTAAGAGAAAAAAACTGGCCGGCGCCATGGCTCACTTGGCTAATCCTCTGCCTGTGGCGCCGGCACCCTGGGTTCTAGTCTTGTTGGGCCACTGGTTCTGTCCCAGTTGCTCCTCTTCCAGTCCAGCTCTCTGCTGTCGCTCGGGAAGGCACTGGAGGATGGCCCAAGTGCTTGGGTCCTGTACCCACATGGGAGCCAAGAGGAGGCACCTGGCTCCTGGCTTCGGATCAGTGCAGTGTGCTGACTATAGCAGCCATTTGGGGGGTTAACCAACGGAAGGAAGACCTTACTCTCTGTCTCTCTCTCACTGTCTAACTCTGCCTGTCAAAAACAAAACAAAACAAAACAAAACAAAAAACAAAAACAAAAAAAAAAAGAAAAGAAAAGAAAAAAAACTGTGAACTCAGAATACTACACCCTGCAAATCTCTCATTTGTGAGTGATGGTGAAATAAAGACTTCCCATAACAAATAGAAGTTGAAAGACTTTGTCACCAACCATCCAGCCCTGCAGAAGATGCTTAATGATGTGCTGAACACAGAAACACCGAAACATGGCCATCACTACGAAAGAAGGTGAAGGAAGAAAATCTCCCAGTAAAAGTCAAAGGAAATCCAAAGTAAAAAAAGTAATGTTTTCGGAAAAATGGCAGAGCAAAATTACTTATCAAATTTACTTATCAAAATTACTTATCAATAGTCGCCTTGACTGTAAATGGACTCAACTCTCCAGTTAAAAGATACAGATTGGCTGAATGGATTAAAAAACAAAACCCATCTCTTTGCTGCCTACAAGAAACACATCTCACCAACAGAGATGCATGAAGACTGAAAGTGAAAGGATGGAAAAAGGTATTCCATGCTAACAGAAACCAAAAAGCTGATGTAGCCATCCTAATATAGGACAGAATAGACTTTAACACAAAAACTGTTAAAAGACTCAAAGAAGGGCACTATGTAATGATTAAGGGATCAATTCAACAGGAAGGTGTAACTATTATAAATGTATATGCACCTAATTACAAGGCACCTGGCTATTGAAAAGAAATGTTAATGGATCTAAAGGGAGACATAGACTCCAATACAGTAGTAATGAGGGACTTCAGTATCCCACTTTGACCAAGGGACAGTTCAACCAGACAGAAAATTAGCAAGGAAACAGTAGAGTTAATTGACACTATGGACCAAATGGACTTAACAGATACCTACAGAGCCTTCCACCCTGTAGCCTCCAAATACACATTTTTCTCACCAGTGCATGGAACTTTCTCTAGGATTGAGCACATGCTAGGCCATAAAGCAAGTCTCAGCAGACAGAGGGAGAAAAAAAGATGTAAGATTACTATTGAGTACGTATTTGTGATTTATGATTTTCTGGAATAGAATGAATTGCTTGCTTAAGTCAGTAGAAATTTAACAATATTAAGTTATAAAGCAATAAGGAAATGTAAGGAAATGTCATGTGTGTAAAAGCTTAATGTTTTTAGAAGAGTGCAATTTTTTTTTAAACAATGATCTTGTAGTATTGACTTTACAGTTGGTTTAGAATGTATCCTGATGTAAGATAACATTTTTTTTTTTAGCCTTGCCAATAATTCTCGGATTGTGGGACTCCTGGCTCAGCTGGAGAAGATAAACACTGAATCAGCAGAATCGGATACTGCCAGATATGTCACATCAAAGATTCTTCATCTTGCTCAAAGTCAAGGTAAACTTGAGTCTGTCCTTTGCTTTTTGGAGTGCTTTCTAAAAGTTATTTCAAAGTAGATGCTAGGAATGTTCAAACTTGATAAATCTGTGATTATCTATAAAAACTGAACTTTATTAAATTTGCTCAGCAAGTAGAAAACTGAAGAACTTTGGAGGAGACTGATCCGCAATACATTGTGTTTTTTTTTTTCCCCAAGATTTATTTATTTGGTAGTCAGAGTTACACAGAAACAGGAGGGGCAGAGAGAGGGGGAGAGAGAGAGGTCTTCTATTCACTGGTTCACTCCCTAATTGGCCACACTGGCCAGAGCTGAGCCTATCCAAAGCCAGGAGCTTCTTCCAGGTCTCCCACGCGGGTGCAGGGGCCCAAAGGCTTGGGCCATTTTCTACTGCTTTCCCAGGCCATGGCAGCAAGCTTTATTGGGAGTGGAGCAGCTAGGACTCAAACTGGCACCCATATCAGATGCCAGCACTACAGGCGGTGGCTTTACCTGCTGCGCCACAGTGTCGGCCGCAATACATTATTTTTGATTATTACAATTTTACTGATGTATGGTTCTCACTGCCCCGTTTTTAGAAAGTTCTGAATTCCAGTGTTGCTTGTGGTTGTAGAGTGTGTTGCCATCCTGATGGAGAGAGCAGAGGTAGATGTACTGTACAGGCTGCAGGGACGCAGCAGGTGGGCAGGACAGCCAGAGGCTGACTGCTTGCAGAATGGACTAGAATCTGAATGTCCAGCTTGCAAAGGGTCAGCTTTCTTGTGGTCTAGCAGATTTTCCCAGTTGTTGGCAGAGCTGGGGAATTTGCAACGCCCTTAGCTAGAGACTTTCCTAGCCCATCAAGTAACCCCAGGGTGTGTCTCCATAGAATGTTGACAGAAAGGTGTCAAGTAGCATGGAATGTTGGTTATTAGCATGCCCCCACCTTGAAATTCATCTCTGCCCTCAGTGCATGGGTTCCTTAGGGAAGTTACTGAATCTCTAGGATTTAGCTACAGCATCTCTGGAAGAGAGGTAACAGATATCATGGGACTGTGATGAAATTCACATGAACAGCATGAAAATGAGTATTAAAAATGTTCAGTAGATGTCACTTGTAATTATTTCTGTTTTATGAAGCTAGTAATATTAACTTGATGTCAAACCTTGACAAGGGTACAAGAGAAATGAAGATCACTGCTAAAGAAAATGAATACAAATACAAATGATTTAATGTAAGGAAGTATATTGGTATAACATTATTTGGACAAGTTGAATAAAATCCATGTAATTATCTCAGTGGATATTAACAATAAAAGACTTTGTTAACATTCCAAAACCTGTGTGTGATTTCTGTGTGTGTGTGTGTGTGTGTGTGTCACAATCAGGGGAAAATCAGCAACTAGCTTAATACTTACTGGCAACACTTTAATGGCATTTTTGTTAAAATTAAGGTCCAGACAATTCCCAATTCTTTTAAAAAGATTCATTTATTTATTTGCAAGAATTATAGAGAAGGAGAGGAAGACACGGGGAGGGGGGGTGTCTTCTAGCCACTGGTTCACTCCTCAAATAGCTGCAACACCCAGAGCTGAGTGAGTCCAAAGGCAGGAGCCAGGAACTTCTTCCAGGTCCCCCATGTGGATGCAGGGGCCTAAGCACTCGGGTCATTTTCTGCTGCTTTCCCAGGCTCCTTAGCGGGGAGCTGAGTTGAAGTGGAGCACCTGGTACTTGCATTGGTGTCCATATGGGATGCTGACACTGCAGGTGGTCGCTTTACCTGCTGTGCCCCACACTGCAGGTGGTAGCTTTTCCTGGTGTGCCACAGTTCAGGGGGGCCCCAATTCACAATTTTTTTTAAACTTTTATTTAATGAATATAAATTTCCAAAGAAAAGCTTATGGATTACAATGGATTTTTCCCCCCATAACTTCCCTCCCACCCGCAACCCTCCCCTCTCCCGCTCCCTCTCCCATTCCATTCACATCAAGATTCATTTTCAATTATCTTTATATACAGAAGATCAATTTAGCATATATTAAATAAAGATTTCAACAGTTTGCACCCACACAGAAACACAAAGTGTAAAATACTGTTTGAGTACTAGTTATAGCATTAAATCACAATGTACAACACATTAAGGACAGAGATCCTACATGAAGAGTAAGTGCACAGTGACTCCTTTTGTTGACTTAACAAATTGACACTCTTGTTTATGGTGTCAGTAATCTCCCTAGGCTCTTGTCATGAGTTGCCAAGGATATGGAGGCCTTTTGAGTTCACTGACTCTGATCTTATTTAGAAAAGGTCATAGTCAAAGTGGAAGTTCTCTCCTTCCTTCAGAGAAAGGTACCTCTTTTTGATGACCCGTTCTTCCCACTGGGATCTCACTTGCAGACATCTTTCATATAGGTTTTTGTAATTTTTTTCCCCCAGAGCGTCTTGGCTTTCCATGCCTAAAATACTCTCATGGGCTCTTCAGCCAGATCCGAATGCCTTTAGGGCTGATTCTGAGGCCAGAGTGCTATTTAGGACATCCGCCATTCTTTGAGTCTGCTGTGTATCCCGCTTCCCATGTTGGATCGTTCTCTCCCTTTTTTTTTAATTCTATTGGTTAGTATTTTCAGACACTAGTCTTGTTTATGTGATCCCTTTGACTCTTAGACCTATCAGTGTGATCAATTGTGAACAGAAATTGATCACTTAGACTCGTGAGATGGCATTGGTACATGCCACTTTGATGGAATTGAATTGGAATACCCTGGCACGTTTCTAACTCTGACATTTGGGGCAAGTCCTATTGAGCATGTCCCAAATTGTACATCTCTTCCCTCTCTTATTCCCACTCTTATATTTAACAGGGATCACATTTCAGTTAAATTTCAACACTTAAGAATAATTGTGTATTAATTACAGAGTTCAACCAATAGTATTAAGTAAAAAAAAAAAATACTAAAAGGGATAATGTATTAAGTTGTTCATCAACAGTCAGGACCATGGCTGATCAAGTCACCATTTCTTATAGTGTCCATTTCACTTCAACAGGTTTCCTTTTTGGTGCTCCGTCAGTTGTCACTGATCAGGGAGAACATATGACATTTGTCCCTCTGGGACTGGCTTATTTCACTCAGCATAATGTTTTCCAGATTCCTCCATTTTGTTGCAAATGACCAGATTTCATTTTTTTTTATTGCTGTATAGTATTCAATGGAGTACATATCCCATAATTTCTTTATCCAGTCTACTGTTGATGGGCGTTTAGGTTGATTCCAGGTCTTAGCTCTTGTGAATTGAGCTGTGATAAACATTAAAGTGCAGACAGCTTTTTTGTCTGCCAATTTAATTTCCTTTGGGTAAATTCCAAGGAGTGGTATGGCTGGGTTGTATGGTAGGGTTATATTCAGGTTTCTGAGGAATCTCCAGACTGACTTCCATAGTGGCTTAACCAGTTTGCATTCCCACCAACAGTGGGTTAGTGTCCCTTTTTCCCCACATCCTCTCCAGCATCTATTGTTGGTAGATTTCTGAATGTGAGCCATTCTAACTGGGATGAGGTGAAACCTCATTGTGGTTTTGATTTGCATTTCCCTGATTGCTAGTGATCCTGAATATTTTTTCATGTGTCTCTTGGCCATTTGGATTTCTTCTTTTGAAAAATGTCTATTGAGGTCCTTGCCCCATCTCTTGAGTGGGTTGTTTTGTTGTTGTGGAGTTTTTTGATCTCTTTGTAGATTCTGGTTATTAACCCTTTATCTGTTGCATAGTTTGCAAATATTTTTTCCCATTCTGTCGGTTGCCTCTTCACTTTCCTGACTGTTTCTTTTGAAGTACAGAAACTTCTCAATTTGATGCAATCCCAAATGTTAATTTTGGCTTTGACTGCCTGCGCTTCTGGGGTCTTTTCCAAGAAGTCTTTGCTGCTACCTATATCTTGCAGGGTTTTTCCAATGTTCTCTAATAATTTGATGGTGTTGGGTCGTAGATTTAGATCTTTAATCCATGTTGAGTGGATTTTTGTGTAAGGTGAAAGGTAGGGGTCTTGCTTCATGATTCTCACGTGGAAATCCAATTTTCCCAGCACCATTTATTGAATAGACTGTCATTACTCCAGGGATTGGTTTTAGATCCTTGATTAAACATAGGTTGGCTGTAGATGTTTGGGTTGATTTCTGGTGTTTCTGTTCTGTTCCATTGTTCCATTGATCTATCCATCTGTTTCTGTACCAATACCATGCCTTTTTTTTTTTTTTTTTTTCCAACAGGAAGAGTGGACAGTGAGAGAGAGACAGAGAGAAAGATCTTCCTTTTGCCGTTGGTTCACCCTCCAGTGGCCGCCGCGGCTGGTGCACCGCGCTGATCTGAAGGCAGGAGCCAGGTGCTTCTCCTGGTCTCCCATGGGGTGCAGGGCCCAAGCACTTGGGCCATCCTCCACTGCACTCCCTGGCCACAGCAGAGAGCTGGCCTGGAAGAGGGGCAACCGGGACAGAATCCGGTGCCCCAACCAGGACTCGAACGTGGTGTTCCGGCACCATGCTTTTTTTGTTTAGGATTAGCCTAGTGAACTGCGGCGCCGGCACCATGCTTTTTTGATTGCAACTGTCCTGTAGTATATCCTGAAATCTGGTATTGTGATACTTCTGGCTTTGTTTTTGTTGTACAAGATTGCTTTAGCTATTGGAGGTCTCCTGTGTCTCCGTATGAATTTCAGCATCATATTTTCCAGATCTGAGAAGAATGTCTTTGGTATTTTGATTGGTATCACATTGAATTTATAAACTGCTTTTGGGAGAATGGACATTTTGATGATGTTGATTCTTCCAATCCATGAGCATAGAAGATTTTTCCATTTTTTGGTATCCTCTTCTATTTCTTTCTTTAAGATTTTGTAATTCTCATTGTAGAGATCTTTAACGTCCTTGGTTAAGTTTATTCCAAGGTATTTGATTGTTTTTGTGGCTATTGTAAATGGGGTTGATCATAGCAGTTCTTTCTCAGCCGTGGCATTGCCTGTGTATACAAA